GGGAAGGAAACCAGAGCGACAACGTCAGCGAAGTCGTTAGCTAACCCTTAAATTAAATGTGCAGTGGTAGGATTTAGCGCGACAGTTATTGTATGCTAATTAAACGTTTGAATAATTAACCACACGAACTATTTAAAATGCCTTCCTGGAGACTGAACAGGTATGTTGCAAGGCTTTTTCCACACTAGGGAAGGGAACCTTAATAAATAAGTCATCGCAAGTATATATTTAATATTATTTAACGGTCACCAGTGCTCCCGGTCCCGCTGCATTAAAATGCTTTCACCGTCAGTTGGCATTGCTGCAGCAATGGGGCAGAAGAGAAATTTCTTATGCTGAACGTGGGACGCAGATGGAGCTGTACCCCTATGGGAATGAATAAATAAATAAAGCTAAATAAATGCAGGCTTCCCAGGTGGGAACCCTCTCCTTGCGGGCAGTCCTTTTGTGTTCAGCATCTCTCTTGCTCAGAAGTGATTAAACATGGCAGTGTTGGCCAAGCTGCTCCAGTTACACAGCACAGATTTCCCCAGAGACGGGCTGCTGTTTTATCGATCTGACGACTTCTTTTTTTTTCCCCCCTATCCTTGCCAGGATGATGGGAAAGGTCTCCGGGCTGCTCTCGGCCGCTGCAGCCCTCCGCCGGTGCCCAGGGCATGCCCCCAGTTCGCCTGGACTCGGTGCCCGCTCGCACACACGGGAGTCGCCGGGACAGAAAGCAGCTTGCTTAAATATTTAACCAAACCATATGGCGCGTTGCGCGTTCGAGGGTGTTCAGTCAGGTGATATATGTCTTTACGGATCCAAGCATATGCACTTGCCTACACAGATATATTCCCTGGCGCACAGACACCCTCCTGCCACTGGCACTGACTATATCCCCGCTATGCTTTCACCTCCAAACACCCGTCTCGGAGCCAACACAGGTGCAAAAGCTTACGCATCCCATGCACGTACCCCTTAGCCCTGCCATCTCCTACCTTCATTGCTTTCACCATCCATCTTCTTTGCCTTCAATGCCCATCCTGCTGCCCATGTTTTCTGCTCCCCCGACACCGTGTCCCTGCCGCTATCTCCTGACATACCCCTTGGTACAGCTCGGCTCCCCGGGCACCCCAAATTTCAGCCACACATCAGGCAAGAGACAAGGAGATCCCCATCCTGGGGAGCATGGAGCTGGAGCGACTTCTCCACCGGAATCAGGGGAGGAGACCTCAGATGAGCCTCACCAAACTGGGTGCCTTCAAAGTCTAAATTGCATTTTTTTACCTTAACCACCTCCTTTCTACCCGGTTTTGGGAGCCAAGCAAGTAGTGCAGAAACACGCGTGTGATCTTTCCAGACCTGCAAACCCCTTCTTGTGCGGGAGCCGGGCAGAGCGGGCGCCTGCAGCCCCCAGCAGCAGCCTGCGAGCGGGCAGGCTCTCCCGGTAAGCCCGGCAGCTCCTTGCTTCCCCCGCATAAAACATGCAAGCCTCCATCTTCCAGCATGAGCAACATCTGCTCCAGATCAAAGGGAACAACAAAGAACAACCAGAAAAGCGTCTGGAAGAAAGGGAAGGAGATTCAGACTTGCCTTCTGCAGGCGATCTGTGATGCACACTGGCAGCCTCCTGAACATCAGGCTGCTGCTGCTCCCGTTTTTAATAACAGCCTCTTACCGCTGTCACCCCCAGGCTTCCCCATGTTTTACAGAGCGCTGCTACCATGGGTCCTGCCTCTGGGACTCGGCGAGCGAGAGCCCTGGGTGCCCCAGCCCTGCTGGCGGCGACGCTACGCCTCAGACCGAGCCCACGCACCCATGCCAACACAGAGGGGTCCGCCAAGGCCAGCGGGAACTGGGTGCTGGGCAGGGACCCCAATATCGGGCTCCCATTCCAGCTCCTCCAGGTTGCAGCCAGGGCCAGTTTCCACTTCTCCGGCAGCAGCCGCCGGGTGGGGAGAAGGTGCAGAGCTCTGGCTGCTGCAGCACCAGGCACCTCCATTGCGCCTTCTCCCTCTTTTGTGCTCAAACCCTTTCTGCTTTTTAAGGCAGAGAGGAAGCTGAGAGACCTGCGCCTTCAATTACAGGTGTATTATAATGGGCTTTTAAATCAGCTTGTGCCACTCTAACACAACCATAATTAAGAGAAAAGCAGAGAGGGCTTCATCCTTCCATCACATCAACGCAGCTTGGGAGCCGTGTTGAAGCCCACGGGGTGCGGGGAAGGACAAACACAGCCTTAGAGCCTGCTTCCAGCTACGCTGCTCGGTCCCGGAGGCTGGTATACACAAACCTTCCCATTGCAGGAGCCGATCCTGCCCCCCGGGGCTGCCTCTGCCCTGGGTTTC